TTGGGTGATCAGGAAGACCGGACGACCTTGTTCTGAGAGGACTGCTAGTGCCTTGATGCCTCCTCTGTAAGTAGAAAATACTTCCTCCCATCCCTGGTGTCATCAAGAACCTGAGCTTTTCCAGGAAAAAGTCTCACTGTGGCTGTCCAGAGGCTAATGCTGTTCCCCAGTCAGCTTATTCTTAAAAGTGTGTATAAAGACCAGTGTGTTCAGCAACTCAAATGTTGATAGAGCATGTGAGAACTTGGGCTGGTAATACAGAAGCAGTAAGTGTTCAGTTTAGTTGCTAAAGTTAGACCCAAGAGACTCTAGTGAGAAGCTCAGTGCTTTCAGAATTATGCCTGAAGTCAAGGGTTAGCTGTAATTTCAGACAAGAACTATCTGACCTGAATTCTGGGTGGATTTGATAATGAGCGATACCTTTGTAGCCCAAAGCAGCTGCGTGCCGCTCATGAGCGCTTCCTCACGGAGCGTGGGGACTGCGCAGCCAGCTCGTGTCACTGTGGTTGCACCATGAGCAGAGAGGCGCTGGCTGAGATCCCTGGCAGAGCTGGAAATGCGGGGAGATGGGCCTTGTGAGTTGTGAATCAGGTGGCAAATAATGAGGTGTATGCTTAGCCGGAGCTCTTCCTGTGTCATGGCCATGGGGAAATAACCCATGGGGAAGGATGCACTGGGAATTGCTGTATAATGTTTAGGATGCGAGCTGGGAAGTGGAATTGAAAAGGCTCTGGGGCTTGGTTCCGTTGCTTTTACCCCCACTGGCTTCCTCGTGTCCCTCGGGCATGAACGCCGCTCCTTTCAGGAGCGATTGCAGGTCAGCCCTAGCTTCCATGTATCACTTCTGGACTGAAAACTGTCAAAGTCAGTCTTGTCCTGCATCAGTGTCAGAAGTGGAAGAAGTGCAGCAGAATTGGAGATCTGGTATGCGGGAAAAGACTTTGTGTCTGGGTGCTTCTTTGAGCCGCTGCAGCCCGCAATGAATAGCGTGCCTAAAAAATTAGGGGAAAAAAATGCCTGAGGGGATCAGTGCAGCAAGAAAACCTCATGCCCCTTTCCTTGGCACCCTTATGCTCCAGCTCCTTGGCATGTCTTAAACTGCCATCCCAGGAAAACTTCCAGGATCGTCTCAGAAGGGCTTCAGACTTGCTAAGTTTGGAGGAACAATCCGAAAATGGCATTGTTTCCATGTATACACTTAGCAAGGCATCTGCGGTGCTCGGCTCTCAGAGGAAACATGCCGTTGTTTGACTGTAGGCTCCCATCAGCATTGCTGCTAACTAGAGGATGTCCAAACACAAACAGTCTCTTCCACCAGAAATGCTTCCACTGGAAACGTTTTCCTGGTGAAATGGGAGCAAGAATACCAAAGGATGATGCTTCTGGCAGTATCAGACTGTAATAAAGGCTTCCCCCTGTTTTGCCTTTGTTTTGGCTCTTGATGATGTATGGTTAGTTAAAATGATTGTCAAAGAAAAGCTCTTTGGCCCCAAGCAAAGCAGAAGGATTCGCCTTCTGCAAAAGTTGTATTGCTGGCTAATTCTCTCCAGTGAAGAGAGTGGCCTTGGCTTGTTTCGTAGAGCTGTTCCAGCTCCAGCAAGCTATAGACATCAAGGGGCATGTTGTCCTTCCTTTCCTAGGAAGGAACATCAGCCCTTTTTGGGCAGGGTACTACAGGCGTTTGCTTTCAGCTTGGGGGAGGACAATGCAATTGGGTGATTTGAGATCTTCATGTGGAGGGGGGAAAAAAAAAGCGCCAACTGTCTTAAGATGTGGTCTCTGCCTTAGTGCCTTGCATGGTAAATATCCACCCCTCCTATCCCAGGAGAGGAAATTACAAGAGAAGAGAGCAGTTTGTGAACTATGTGCATAGCGTGCGCTGTGTGCTGGATTCACTTCTGCTTCCTCCCAGATGCCCTGCTCCCTAACACTGCCTTCCTCTTCCTGCAGCTTCCCCACTCCTGCCAGGACAACCTTTTATTTTTTCCCTAGGTCTCCTCTGAATTGTTAAGTCTTTTAGATCATGCTTCACCCACCACTAACTTCTCACCCTTATTTTGCTGTGGGAAGGAGTGAGAGCTTGTGGGATGTGGCCGGTAAAGCAGACGGAGGATGGAGATGTGCATTGGGGTTGCTGCTGCCCGACTGCTCGGAGAGCCGTTTGGTTCAGGTTCCCCTCTGCTGGGGACCACAGTCACCCAGCGAGGGCCAAAGCGAGGTCCCTGCGGGCCCTGGCAGGCTCCCGAGGTTGGCTGTGTGCAGCAGTGGCGGCCTCATCCTCACGCTCTGCTAGAAACCCGCAGCTGGTCCCCTGTCGGCACCATCCATCGCTGCCTCCCTTAGCCGCTTTCTTTCCTCCTTTCCTACTTTGCAGTTCCTTTGCAACTCCTAATCCCTGTCCACTGTTTAAGACTGTGAAGCATCATGTCTGTCCTGTACTACAGGCTAGCTTACACGTTTCTTTTGTCCAGAGTCATAGTAGTCTCAAAGAAGCTGGCTGGTTTGGCATGATTCAGTTGTGATGAAACCATGTTGGGTTTTACCGGATTTTCCACTTTACTTCCCTATCGGTATAGGGTAGGAAAGAAAACATAAGGCTGGAAAAGGCCTCCGCCTGCCCTCTGGTGGTCATGTAAAGAAAAGCAAGCAGTTGTTGTGCTCCTGGCCCTTCAGCCAGGGGTGACCCTGGTGTGAGGCTGAGGTCCTCGCCGGCAGGGCAACCCCCGGAGCCCTGGTCTGCGGAGGGAAAGTCTCATCTTGAGGCAACCCAGAGCAGATAATGCCACCAAGGGTTGTTGTGCTCCTGGCCCTTCAGCCAGGGGTGACCCTGGTGTGAGGCTGAGGTCCTCGCCGGCAGGGCAACCCCCGGAGCCCTGGTCTGCGGAGGGAAAGTCTCATCTTGAGGCAACCCAGAGCAGATAATGCCACCAAGGTTTTCGGGGGCTGGGGCAGGTCCTGGCCGGGACCGCCCTGGCCAAGGGGTGCCTGCGCTTCCAAAAGCTGCTTTGTGAGCGCTCTAGAAGCTGCTGCTGTATCATCTGGGAGGATTTATTTTATTAATTTTATTTTTCTGGGGGGTGGTGGAGTCCTCCAGTCGAAGCAGCATCAAAAGCATCACAGGTTTCTGGCTTGGTGTTTCTCTCAGCGGGGCTGTACAACGCTTACTCAGCACCAAGGGGCCCGTAGCGTCTTCCGTGCGTCCTGCTGCGTCTCTGCTCAGAGGAACAGGACTTCCCGGGGGGGCCGGGGCCGGGGCCGCCGCCGGCGGGGGCGCGC